GTAGTGAATCGATAATAAATTGTAGAAATATCTAGATTTGATTTCGAATGATTGATTCTATGTTTTTGCAATGATACAAAAAAAATAAAATTCCGAATCAATCGGAAACTCAAAGAAAAAGAGATTCTGGCCTTTCGCTTGATCCACCACCATTTGCAAAACAAAAAATTCCCGGGAAAATATTTTTTCGGTAATATTTCTCTCTTTTGTTTAAATATTTTATATTTCGTTCTCAACAGAGATTCATTGTATCTAAATAATGATTAAACACGTTTATGAAAAAAAGGCAAATAATTACAGGACACACAGACTGAAAAAAAATCATTAATATTCTTCTGAGCGCATTCAACCACCCAATCACACATCAAGACCATCACCAAATAATGAAAAACAAAACAAACAAAGACTAATCAAAATTATTCAATCTATAAATATTTCAGAAAAAAAAACATTTTTTGGGGTTTGATAATGAAAAAAAATGTTACACATTTTCTCTCTATGTCTAGTAAATCAGAGAGAGAGAGAGAGAAGCAACAAAAATTATCCATGTAATGATCACCCCATTGTGTTTATGGTGGTGGTGATAAGATTTACATAAAAACAAAGACACAAAAATAAAACTAAACCACCGAATGAATCCAGGACAACCATCATCATCATCATTAACAATCATTAGTAAAATATTAAAAAAAAGGTCAAAGAATTGTAGAAGAATCGAGAGAAACCGATACACAAACACACAAACCAATTGAGTGAGAGAAAATTGTTATTCTTTTTTTAAAAAAAAGATGAAGTTAAATAGATAGGGGTTAAGAGTAAAACCGAAAATAAAAGCAACACAGAATTTGTCTTTAAAAAAAATTTCATCACTGTGATTCTTTTCATGGAAAGTTGCAATGACAACAACAAAACAACAATAAAATGTAATTTCAATTTCTCACAGATATATCTCATTCTAAATGACCTAAAACTAGACAAAATACATTTGAAATAAATAAGAAAAATGATGAAAAAAATCTACATTGTGAATAGAAAAAGAATTTTTGCTGATGAATTGGATTTCTCTCACCATCACCCACCATGTGCACATCCAACAACAAAACAAAACAAAAATATCATTAAAATTAGTCGCCGTTTTCTATGATAATTTATTAATTTCTTGTCTATTCTCTCTCTCGGTTCTCTCTTTTTGAGAATGACATAGTTTTATCTGGGCAATTTCATATTTTTGGATCGATTCAATTCGATTTTCGTATGATTCAATCTGATCCGGATTCTGATTTTATCTATTTTTTTTACCACTTTCTACCCCTTTTTTCTGTCTGGGACCGATTTTTTTTGTTGGCTGTCTGGATAAAAAAAAATTCTTTTCTTTCATGTTTTTTTCACCCCGCATTTGATAATAAATATAAAAAATAAAGTTAGTTATTCAAAACAAACGAGGCGCGAATGACAAATTATCCAGTAATGTGAAAGGATACAAACAAAAACAAAAACAAAAAAATTTCACAACGAGAAACATCCTAGAAAATCATTACATCATATTTTCTATGGACAAAAAAAACAGTGAAAAAAGAGTTAACTTGCAGAATGGAAACTTTGAAAAAAAGGCTTTTTTTCAAATGGTACAGAATCATCATCAAAATAATCGATATTTTTCTTTTTGGAGAATCATATTTCATTTTATATCGTTTTCTTGTTGTTGTTGTTGTTGATAATAATTCATTTGTTCAATCTTTTATTAGCTTTAAAAATGATACAATTTTCATCTTTTTTTACAAGAAAACATGCTTGAATTTGAATAATTTCCAGCCAATCATGTTGTGATTGTTAATTAATTTAAAAAAATGGACATCGAAAATGGATAAATTGTTCAAAACGTTGCGTGGGTGTGTGTATTGTAAAACAATTTGATCCCATCATCAGTCATACGTGAATATGCCAGTAGAATTTTCAAATGAAAATATTTGGTTCAATTTGTTTTCCCTCTCACTTCCCCCTTCCTCACTTACACACACAGAATCATGTTTTTTTTTCGGAAAAGTTTTTCATATATTCATTTCATTCGTTCATCTTTTCTGGATGTTGTTGCCATGTGAAAAAAAATGTTTAAAAATGTCATTCGTCGGACAAACAGAAATTTAAAATTTAAATTTTTTTTTGTTGAAAAGAATTCAACATCATTTTACATGCGTATAATGATGATGATGAGGAATTGTATTTGTTTAGTGGTTGGTTTGGTTGATGAAAAAATGAATAATGATGTCTGTCGTGCTTTATTTGAATGTGGTTTTTTTCAAAAACAAACAAAAAAAATTCTGTTTCTTTGAAATTTAAAAAAAAATTCGATACATTTTATTTGGCTACATTTTTTCGTTTTCACACATTAATGTGTTTGTTTGTTTTGTTTGCAAAAATGTAGCGAAATTTTCTTTTTTTACACAACACCAAAATTAAGATGAAATTTAAATTTTACACCTACATTCAATTCGACAATACAAATAAAAACCATACAGGTGTATCTTATTATTCAACATACAAAAAAAAAGTTTCAATACAAATATTTTGGCTTATCCTTTTCATCAATGATGATTATCATTGTTGATGATCATCTTCATGATCATTGTCCTCGTTTTTTTTCCTCACTTGCTTTTCTCCTTTGATGGAAATGTACAAACACCAACAAAAAAAATAAATAAATTTCGAAAAAAACTGTCAAGATTTATTAGTTAAACGTATGGTTACGACAATCTGTTGCTATGCATCATGTATTGTTGAATAAATTTTGATTTGGGTTATTCGAGGCTACTTGTAGCCAATTTTTGTAGCTAAAAAAGCAGCTGTTTCTTTTCCTTTTTTTTTTGTTGTCAACGTGTGTGTGTGTGGATATCTTTAGATCCAAAGCAAAATACAAGAAAAAAACCAACCAAATTTGGATACAATTTTGTTTGACAACAACAACAACAACAACAGAAAAGAGAAAAAATTCATAGGAAAATCTTTGGATACACGATGAAGAGAGAGAGAGAGAGAGAGAGAAAAAACCTATGACATTCGCTTGACATGATGATGAGAAATCAGAATTTATTTTTCAAATGTAGCCATTTCATTTGTAATTTGGGATTCATAATGGTTTTGTTTTGTGCTTTCACACTCTCTTCATTCACACATTTTGTCATATATTTTTATGATGATTTTGATTTTCATCAACAACTTCGCGGATGGTTAACCACTTGTGCACACATACATACACATCAAGGGTTTACACGGAAAAAACAACAACTAAAAATATGAATGAATGAATGAATTTTTTAAAAAAGTTCATCTAACCTATTACACACTACTAATGATCTGAAAAGAAATGAAAAAAAAGATTTATGAATTCAAATTTTTGTTGAACATTTAAAATGAGAATAAAATCAGTAGTTTTGTTTAAAAAGTAAATGGCTAATTATCATAATTGTGTTTCAAGAGAGTAAAAAAAAGAGTAGGCACAATAACAACAACAACAACAACAACAAAACAATCGATATAAATTAATTAATTTTGAAATAAAAATTTTATAAACCTATTATTAGGATAGATTTTTTTGTTTTGTTTTACAAATGACAAATGATAAATTGATAATCATCATATTAAACAACATCAAAGGGTTAACTGACACACACAAGCTTAGAGATGTATGTGATTGATTCGAATAAAAAATTATCGATTGATAATCAAAAAGAGAAATGATAATAATTAAAGAAACTACAAACACAATATTGTCTAATAATTAGTAGTTTAGTGATGGTACGAATAGAAAATGAATCAAAATCAGAAGAAATTATTGAAGAGAATTTTGTTTTTTTTAATAAATATTTTTGATTGAAAAAATATAATATCCAAGAAATGAATTAGAATGTAACCAATCCTTTTTTTTGCTATCTATCTATCTATTTAAAACACGAAAAACTCTTTGAACACTTTTTGTTTTTCCTGCCTGTGTGTGTGTAAAATACGGTTACAATGTACAAAAAATTTTTGAGTAAATTGGAAAGAGTAAACAACACACAACCAAATGAATTAATGAATGAATGATTAAATGATTTCTTTCTTTCATTCATCCATTTTTTCCTCCTTCCATCCAAATAATAATAGAATCCTATGTACATTTTTTTTCCAAACAAAAAAAAAATCTCAAATGGAAAAAAATCAGCAACAAAGTTTTTCTTTTCAATTTTCCATTATAAATTCAGGCAAAAGAAAAGCGAATTTATGTGGTTTTTATCCCAAAGTTGATGTTGATGATGATGATGATTATCATCATCATTGTTTGGGTTGCTGTTGTTGTTGATGAAAACGATGATTATGATGATGATGATGATGATGACAACTATCATTCATCATCGACCACCCTCACAACAACAAAATGAATAACGAATATTTGCGAAACAAAAAAAAAAAAAAAAATGGAAAAAAATCCGAATATTAAGGATTGCCACACCATTATCATGGTTAAAAGAAAAAATTTTTTGGTTATTC